AGTTACTTTCTGGATCATAACTGAATCAGCTCAAGAGGTTTCATCACCTTAAATCACAAGCACATCTACACTGAACATATCCAGCTCACTGGAATGTGTTAGAAACGGCTTTGAAGAGATCATAATGAGATAGATTTGGGATATTTGACATGGTATTGATAGCCAGCCTGATCAATATGACCTGACAATCAATGAATTACAACATAGTAACTCATCTGTTATCGGATTACTTAATAATGGCCAAAACAGAAGCGCACAAGACCAAAGCAGCAAATGAGTATTTGGGTCACATGTTCATTCATTGTTAGATGACAAATGCAGTGCAATTAATTCTTAACAAAATATCAAATGCTCTAAAACGGCAACTTGCATGATCTTATAATTAATATTTACAACTATTTTTTGTTATAGGAGCTTTTTTTTTAACTTCAGTTTATTGAATAATTTACATAAAAGGCTTGATCAAATAATGATAAATATAGTTGAAGATCTGCATATATAAACAGAAATATTTAATATGAAAATATGAGAAACCAACTTGTCTCAACCACGACATTTCTAAGTGCTGTTGCTGCTTGTCATCATTTAATACATCTAAAAATGATGACAGCATGCCATTTTCTCGCATAATAAATATAAATCTGAACATGTAGTCATGCACATATATAAAATTGCTTAATGCAATTACATATATACTATAAGACAATAGAAGGAACAAGCAATATTAGCAATGTAAACTTTAATGCTAAGTGTGAAAACAATCAGAAACACGTTATTTTAGTATTTCCTGCTATGTCATATTAAAAGATGCCTTTACATTTCATTTTTTAACATTATCAAATGTATTATGTCACAGAACAGAACTGTAGCACAACCCACATTCATATGCATGTTTATAAAACTACAACTGAACACAGCTCATTATTATTAAGATTGCACGGCCATAATTGTACGGAGTTTGGATCGAATTCATCAGATATGATTATGAATTAAAACTACAATAATAACAACACTGACCTTCATCAAACAATCCAGTTTACGTTACATGTCTAACCTCATTCAGCAGAACAGCTGGCCTACAGTCAGCTCTTTACTATCTAAAACAGGGCAACTCCGTGTTTATTCATAATTAAAAGCATCTGTATGTGTTTATTGAAAGGTTATCTGTTGTATACCTTGACAGCATAATCAATGACCCGTTTAACTCCGACCAGAACCCGGGCGCTCATCGTGACTCTTCCTCTGTCTCTGATGGATCAACTAACTTCAGCCGGAGCGGTATTGGTGTGACACCATGTGGGGGCGGGGTTTAAAGAACGCCCCTTCTGTGAGCCAATAGAATTGCTCAGATCAGAGAGCTGTCAATCAAAAGCTGAGAACTGGCCAATCAGTTACACCGAACGTTCTTGCGCTCCAGCGCTCTGACTGAAACGGACTTAAAAGTCGTTCCTATGTAAGTAGGTTAAAGGTCGTGTGGCTGTTGTGACTGAACGCAGGGCTGACAGCATATCTGGACCTCACTACAATTAAATTAAATTATTACAGCATGTGATGAGAGAAATTAAGTTTCTGAGACTTCGAATCAACCGGATATAATCGCAAAATGATTCAGTGAAGCGCTCGAAACAGCACATTAAGGGCACCTGCTGGTCACAATGAAAAACTCCACTCAAAAGTACCCAGTTCACTTATTTTTTATGTAAAATAAAGAGTTAGAAGTCTTGTGTAATAATAAATATTACACAATTTAATATTACACTTAAAGTTGCTCCAAGTTTTGTGGCAAACATACATGTATATCTGCCTATTTTAGTTACCGTAAGATAAATCCTTTGAAATATAATTTTATCAGAAGATTATTTGTAGTCTTATTAGTTTGGATGGATTTTTAACCATATATTTAGCCTTAAAATGTGACTTCATAGATTCGTTTTTCAGAAAATAATATTTATATAATATTTAATATGTATTATTATTATTAATAATAATTTTTAAATACAATGCTGTATATTTCCACACTCCAGTTCAGTTGGTGGCAGTAATGCAGCATAAGCTGGTTTACCATTAAACCTCAGATGAAGAAAAAGTTTGTCACGTGACTGGAGTGTTTGGTCCCTTGAGTCAGAGCACTGATGGATCAGCTGGAGCTCAACTCACACTCTACAGTCAGACTCGGGTAATGCATTACACTTCCAGCAGCTCAGGGCTCGGGCAATGCAAATTACTGCAGAAAGTCATGAGAAAGCGGTCATGCATGCAGGACTACGGTGACGGAGAAGTACAAAACAAATCACAATTCTGAAAACAAAAGAACAAATTACAAACGCAAATGCAAGTCTAAAAAACAAAATAACAATTCAGAAAGCACAACAACAATTCAGAAAACATTATAACAAGTCGGTTTGTCTGATTTGTTGTTGTGTTTTCTGACTTGTTAATTTGTTTTCGGATTTGTCGTTGTGTTTTCTGACATGTTATAATGTTTTCTGAATTGTTGTTGTGTTTTCTGAATTGTTATTTTGTTTTTTAGACTTGCATTTGCGTTTGTAATTTGTTCTTTTGTTTTCAGAATTGTGATTTGTTTTGCACTTCTCGACCACCGTACAGGACGATTGTGTAATATGCACTGTAAGTTTGTGAATGCACGGAATGAAAAAAAAAAATGTTGATAATGCAATTTGATTGTGGAAACATTGTGCATCTTCTCCAGTTGGGGATACATACTAAACTGTTACTGGTCCTCAAAATTGTTTTGTATATTTTAGAGACCAACATCTGCTGAAAACTTATACAAAGTTATTGTAAAAAAAAGTTTTAAATGTAATTATCGCACTTTTATGTGTCGCAGGAACAAGAAGATATAATTGATCTAAAACTTATTTTAAACACTCTTTTTGCAATTTTTATTATTATATGTTATATACTATACATTATGTCGTATTAATTAAAAGACTTTTAGATTACTTATGAGTCCTGTTTTTCCCGGGATTCTCCCGTATTTTACCATTCTATCCCGCTATCATCCCGTTTAAATATTTTCCCGTATTTCTCCCGTATTTGAATCTTTCTATAAAAAAAAATCCCACTTGGGCGTATTTTATATGTTTGCTACACTCTAAAAAAAAAAGGTTCTTAACCCATTTGTCCCCTCAACTTGGCAACCTACAGCCCAGTGATGCTATCGATGTGTGTGCAGGGAGTACCGCGGGAAAAAAACGATGATCACTGTTAGAAATGGGGGGAGAAGACTCAGGTGGTGCTCCAGTGAAAAAAACTAAATATACATGTAAATGTATATTTACATGTATAATGAGATATAGCTTACACTTCAAAAGGCTATTTAATTGATTAAATATGAGCGCTGCAAGTTTCAAAGTCAGGTGCTGCGCTGCTTTGTTTACTGCGGTTACCGGGGAAATGGCTATATTCCTGGCAAAAAGCGCCACCTGCTGGCAGAGAATAAATTTGCATTTTTCAATAAGCCCTTCTGCTCTTTTACACCAAAGCCAAAAACGACCCTTATTTTTACGCAGAAAACAGGCAGTTGTAAATGTGAACTGGTGGATCGACAAGAAGATAATGAATTATAAAACTTATTTAATTAAAAAAAAAAAATATATATATTATACACTAATATATATTTATGTTACTAAACGAATATAATTGTTTGATAATAATTGTTAAAATGAATATAATATAATATAATATAAAAATTGTTACTTTTGACTCCACCCCCCATTCAGTTTGTCTCTCATGAAATCTGTCAAGAAGCTGTGTGATCTTACTACAAAATCCCCCCAATATATATTTCACATAAAGAAAACTAAGCCTATTTTTAGGACAATTCATTTCTTTTCATTAGTGTAAAAAAGTATTGCATTGTCTTTAATTTATGCTGATTTAAAATAATAATAGAAACAATATTTTTTTTACTGTAATCTAGTGAGAATCACCATTGAGAATAATTGGAAATAAAAAAAAACCTCAAAAGTAAAACATCCAGATGCATTATGTTAATGAAAAAATGTAAGAAAAAAGGGAAATTAGGGGAAATGTACTTAATTGTCATGAAAATAATGTCACAATGAAAATAATAAATAAATAATGCTCCTATAAATAAGATTTATTGTCTTTATGCATATCAAATGTTTTTATTTTGTGTGGTGATATATGACTGGGGAATGTTTTCTTGAGTTTTACCCATTTGCAGTCATGTGATTCTAATCTCTGGCTGGGATTGGCACTGGGCCTGTGTCACATGTCAGTCAGGCGGCGCGTCACATGACAGATGATTGGGGGTGCTGTTAAGGGGTATTAACAAATACGTATTCTGTTAGTGAACAACTGTGTCATTCAAACCTTTAAAGTAGATCATGCACAGCTCTCTGCATCGCAGGAATGATGGATGAATGGAGAATTCAGTCAGGAGACACTGGAAATAAATTTCCCATGAACACTTTATAGGGAATTGCAGCTGTTTTCTCTAAACATCAGGTTCTGTAGCTGACAAAAAAACAGCAGAAGCTCTTGTTTTTATGATTATTTTCCTGTAGGGGTGTCACCATACCTTAATCACGTCACATTATTCACAAATTTCAGCTGAAGTATCATGACCACATGCTGTTTGGATGCTTGTTCCTTGTATTCGGGGCTGAATGTGATGGCTATTTTGATGTTGTGTTACTCCTTTACAGTTTAATAGTGTTAAAGTCATAGAAAAACATGTAAAGATCTGGAAAGTACTACATTGCAGGTCCAAGGTTTGGAATAATTATGATTTTTTTAATGTTTTTTTTTTTTGTATTGTGAAATATTATTATAATTTAAAATAACTACTAACTCTTTGCACATTTGTGGGTGGAATATGTTTGCGCTCTATAATAGAGTATTATAAAGCAGAGCAATAGGAGTGTCATATATTATTAGATGCTGAGTGCACACAGAACAGCCCCGGGCGTCTCTCCGTTCGGCTCCGGTGAGAATACCTGGGGATTTGTCTAATGCAAGTGTGCTTTTACCTGCGGATGGGATTATCTCTGCTGCCGCTGCAGGTGAGTGGATTCAGGTAGATCCATTATGCTTTCTGTCAGCGACTGAGACTTTTATTGGATGGGAAGGTTTGGCGCTTGTGTCCTACTGTGAGACAAAAGTTCGGTACAGGTAAGGAATAATAGATTCCCTTATATTAATTTAATTTATGGGCCTTTCTGTACATATGCATACAGTATATAAAATGATTAAAAGGCTACATTTATTTAAAGATACAGTAAAAACAATAATATTGTGAAATAGTATTACCATTTAAATGAACTGTTTTCTATTTGAATATATTGTAAAATATCATTTATTCCTGTGATGCAAAGCTGTAGTTTCAGCATCATTACTCCAGTCTTCAGTGTCACATGATCCGTCAGAAATAATTCTGATATGCTGATTTGCTGCTCAAGAAACATTTCTGATTGTTATCAATGTTGAAATCATGTTTTTATTTCATATTTTTATTGAAAACGTGCTACACTTCCATTCAAACTTTGGAGTAATTAAGTTTAAAAAAGAAAAGAAAAAGAAAGTAATACATTTCTTCAGCAAGGATTGATCAATAAATTGGTCAAAAGTGACAGTAAAGACATTTATTGTTACAAAAGATTTCATTAAATGATGTTCATTAAACTTTCTATTCATCAAAGAATCCTTAAAAACATGTATCATATTTCCACAAAAATATTAAGCAGCAAAAACTGTTTTCAGCACTGATAATAATAAGAACCACTATTAATAATTGAGCACCAATAACAATTGATAATAACTGAGCAGCAAATCAGCATATTAGAATGATTTCTGAAAGATCATGCGACGCTGAGGACTGGAGTAATGATGCTGAAAATTCAACTTTGCATCAAAGGAATAAATTTAATTTTAACATATATTCACATAGAAGACAGTTATTTTAAATTGTAAAAGTATTTCACAATTTTGCTGTTTTTACTGTATTTTTGATCAAATAAATTCAGCCTTGGTGAGCAGAAGAGGCTTCTTTCAAAAACACTGAAATTCTTAAGCGTTCCAAACTTTTGACTGCTAGTGTTTTTTCAAGATCTGAAAAAGTTCTGGAAATGGTGCTATACATATTGTTCAACAATAATTTGAAAAAGAATCAATATTGGATTATTCACATGAAAAGCACAATTAATCTGAAAAATCAATATTTTAACCAACCCTAGTAATGAAAGTCTGTGTCTTTGTCCTCCTCAGGTGACAGACCAGCGACTGCAGAGTAGAGGTGAAGTCAGAGGGCCGGTTAATGTGGTCTCTGCATCCAACCTCACTAAATCCCAGCAGGTATGGAATCAACATATGGCATCACTATGGCAACCAGCTCGGTCCCTGCATCAGCACCACTTTTACTTCCCATCCCATTCACTTATACTTATTCATTATGTTGTGATGTTCCACAAATCTCATTCAACGCGCAGCAGAACATGACAACATGTCAGAGCAGAAGATGAACATTATACAAACTCAACTCTAACTAAATAGCCAGATGTTCCGCGTTTGTTTGTGGGTTGTAAAATGTTTCACGCCTGTTCTCTCCCAGACAGTAATTCAAAACTCTTTCAGTAATGAAGACAGTCCTGCTGGAGAAGATACTGGAGAGAAGACAGCCACGGCCATGTCCATGCAGACAGCAGCTGACCCTACACTCACACAAACAGCAGGTACGTATTAGTTTTATAGAGGTTTATAGAATCACATGCAACATGCTTCAATAGATTGAGAGGTTGTCCTTTACAGTGCTTTCACCTTGGTTAAATTAAGTTCTTAAAAACCACACAAAACAGAGTAATGGTTCTTGCATCAAATAATGCATTCATTAGTTTAGTTTTAGATGGTTTACAGTTTCAAAAGCATGTGTTTATCTGCATTTCACAATGATTTCAAATGCAGCTCACGCTTTTCAGTATCCATTTGATGAGGTCAGTGTTTACTTATTGTGAATAATCAGATTTTATAATTTAATTACAAATGAAAGGTGCTTGATCTCATTATTGTATCTTTTTTTGGAAATAAATATGTATTTCTTTTTTATTGATTATCCCAAAGTAGTTATATTTTATATATGTAATAATGTAAACACACACACACACACACACACACACACACACATATATATATATATACAGTTGAAGTCAAAAGTTTACACACTCCTTGCAGAATCTGCAAAATGTTAATTATTTTACCAAAATAAGAGGGATCATACAAAATGCATGCCATTGTTTATTTAGTACTGAATAAGATATTTCACATAAAAGATGTTTACATATATTCCACAAGAGAAAATAATAGTTGAATTTATAAAAACGACCCCATTCAAAAGTACTCGTAATACTGTGTTGTTAACTGAATGATCCACAGCTGTGTTTTTTTGTTTAGTGATAGTTGTTCATGAGTCCCTTGTTTATCCTGAACAGTTAAACTGCCTGCTGTTCTTCAGAAAAATCCTTCAGGTCCCACAAATTCTTTGGCTTTCCAGCATTTTTGTGTATTTGAACCTTTTCCAAAAAGTGACTGTATGAATTTGAGATCCATCTTTTCACACTGAGGACAACTGAGGGACTCGTATGCAACTATTACAGAAGTTTCAAACGCTCACTGATGCTCCAGAAGGAAAAACCATGCATTAAGAGCCGGGGGGTGAAAACCTTTGAACAGAATGAAGATGTGGACATTTTTCTTATTTTGCCTAAATATCATATTTTTTTAATTTAGTACTGCCCTTCAAAAGCTACAGAAGATACTTAAATGTTTCCCAGAAGACAAAATAAGGCTCTTAATGCATCATTTTTATATATGTATACACACACACACACACACACACACACACACACACACACACACACACACACACACACACAATGTACAATGTAAAATGTATGTATTTATATAAATAATATTTTAGTCATACTAGCCAACTTTGAACTCTCAGTAACTCTCTTATCAGGATAAACATGAGTTCTCCCGGTGGCAGTAAATGTGATTTGAATTTAGTATGTGGAGCAATACAACATCTGTCGTCTCTCTCATTTAGATCAATTCTACGTGATGATGACTCCTTCAGATGTTCTGCATTCTGCCTCTCAGCTGACTTTAGCTCCACGCACACATATGTACACTGTGTGAGTACAAAAAAAACTGCATTTACAGCATGCCACAGGTGTTGTCCCTTAAAGCGTAACTTGATTCATCGACTACATTTATTTAAAATTCATTACATTTACACCTTTATTGGTGAAATAATACAGGGTCGGGGGATAGTCTTTTGAATTTGGGATGGGATTTACTCAAGGAGTGATTGTCTGCAGGCTCTTTTGTTGCACCGCTGCATGTTTTCTTTTTGTGCCTTGCTCTCCATTTAACCTTGGGATCCCACTAACACATCGGTGAATCTATGTGAAAACGGGGCTGTTTGTCATGATTCTGTTTCCTGACAGGATCATGTGCTCAAATTCAGTCAGAATTCATGGGAGAGCGTGGTTTGCTGTGCTTCCTTTTGAAGGTGCTCAGCTGTTTTTACACCGCAGAAGCAGAAGTGTGGTGAAAATGTGTGATACTCACACGTTTGTGCGGTTGCAACATCCTTAACCTCCAAAATAAGCTTGGTAGAAATATCTAGCTGAAGAATCACGTGGCAGAGGTGTTTGTTTCAGTCGTTCTTGTTTGATTATTTCCTTCTTTAGGACACAGACCGCTTTTGCAGCTTATGTGACATGAATGGCACAAGAGTCCTAATCTTACTTTCTTCCATTAGAATTCCAAATCCTTCAGGTTATTAGATCCTGGGATAAAAGCCACTATAGTTAGAGAGTGTGGGTTGTGTTCAGAATGGAATATTAATCACTCTGAACTATACTGCAAATTTTTAATTCAGCAGGCATCCAATAATTATCTCAGAAATAATATTTTGAGGTGTGGTCAAATATTGTGTCAAAAATGATGTTTTGTTCTGTTGTTCATCCAAAGTTTGGCACGTTATTTAGGTCTTCCGTGCATACAGAAAATCGCATATTCTGCTCTGTATAAATACTGCATAAATTGCAAGTTGTATACATTCCAATGTATTTCTCAATAGATTTTTCTGTTCATCAGATTTCTATTTCAGCAATGATGGTAACCATCAAAGCAAACTGTTTCTATCCATGTTTAAGCTAAAATGTCATTCATTAGATAATTTTTCATAAGTGTTTTTTGAAATGTCTGAAATATATTTTCCACTCTGCAGAGGTGAACACAATGCACAAGAGCATGACAGTTTTAACTGGTAAGAAGAAATTTTACATCCCATTAACAAAATAAATTCAAATAAACACAAAACTGGCAGGTGTACAGAAAATACAGAGCTGCAAAAGTAATCATTTCCAAACATTTTCAGACACTCAAACATGCCTGTTTTCCATTATTTAGCAGATAATCCAATCCTAAGTACATGCCATTGCTTGAGACAATATTATTATGCCCTGTCCATTCAGGCCTCTCAAACAAAATAAGTTGCAATTCCATTTGCTACCACTGGTGGCGCAGAATTTGCACACTTCACTGTATACTGTGGTTCTTTAGTTTAACACAGTCTTCTATAGAAGTCCGTGCTCACAATTCCGACTTTTTTTCTCATAATTGCGTGATATAAACTCGCAATTGCGAGTTGAAAAGTCATAATTGTGAGATATAAACTAACTCGCAATTCTGAGAAATAAAGTCAGAACTGCGAGATATAAACTCACGATTCTGACTTTTTTTCTCATAATTGCGTGATATAAACTCGCGATTGCGAGTTGAAAAGTCATAATTGTGAGATATAAACTCGCAATTCTGAGAACATATCAGTCTTCCACCCCCCCCTCAAAATTGGACTTTAATTCGCAATTGCGAGAAAAAAAGTTCGAATTGTGAGTTTGTATCACGCAGATAAAAACTCGCAATTCTTACTTTGTAACTCGCAATTGTGAATTTATATCACACAATTCTGTGAAAAAAGTCAGAATTGTGAGATAAAAAGTCGCAATAACCTTTTTTTTTTTTTTTTTTTCAGTGGCGGAAATGGGCTTCCATAGTCTTCTGTGCATTTCAAGTCACGTCTGTATATAGTGCTTTTAATATAAAGAGATGTAGGAATAGACTTCCTGTAGTGTAAATAAAAAACATCTTCAGTTCAAAAACACTTTTTGTTGTTGTGCATTAGCACAGATAAAGCATCTCGCTTCCTTCCTGGCGTTTTGTGAGATGCTTTACCCCGTGTTGTGTGACAGACACGACGTTGCGGAGTCGTGACTTAATTAAAGCGTACCTGAGGGAAGACTCACACGGAGAACAGTTGTGTCATTAGGCTAAAGTCGGACCTCATCGCAGACGGCAGCTGTTTGCAGCGCTGCAATTTATAACCTAATGAACACAGCCGATGCCACGACTCCCCTGAGATCAGACGTGAAGGGCAGAGAGACCTTACGCAGATATCTGCCAGTCCGCACTAATACTAGCTTCAACTTTACAAAGCTGGGACTAAGTTTGTCATACCTGCTAGTGGTTGACCAATATGGGCTTTTTCAATGGCCAGTACCGATATCATAAGTGTAGGGTGGCTGATGGCAGATTTAATGTAAATAGGCCTACATACATGATAAAAGCAAATGAGATCCACACAACATTGCTGAAATTTTTTATGAACACTTACACTGTGAAAAAAAGAAAAGTTGTTTCAACTCAAAAAAGTAAGTGTTCATGCTGCCTCTAAATTTGATGTTTAGTCAGCTTGAAATGTTAAGTTATACTAAGTGACAACTTGGATATTTTAGTTGAGTAAACTTAAAACTGAAAGGCAGCGCAAACAATTTTTTACAGTGTACTTTACACAGTATTGACCTGTAATTTAAGTTTTGTGCAAATAGTTCAAGTAAGACTGACAAGGCTTGTCTCTAGAGTTAAAAGAGTTATACTTTTGTTAATCAGTCCCAAACAAAAAATGAATTTTGTTTATTATTATTATTTTCCAAAGCAGTACATTTTAAATCATAACTTTAGAGATGATACATTTTTAATAAAATTAACTTTACTAAATCGCAGTCTCTATTTTATTTTATTTTATGTAGTGTTTGTTCTTTATTTGTTTTATGTATTTATTTATTTATATATTTATATATTATATATTTTTATTTTTTGTTATATTATTTATTTATTTATTCATCATTTTATTTTATCTTTGTTTAGTTTTCATTCATTCATTCATTCATTCATTCATTCATTCATTCTTTCGTTAGTTGTTTAGTTTGTTGTTTTTTTATTTGAATATATTATATTATGAATATATTATAAAGATAAGATTGCAAGCCTTGTAAAATACTTACATTGAGATTTTAAAACTAAGAAATATATCAAATAATGCATATGCATTTTTTATTCCATTTTATTTTGTTTAGTGTTTGTTCTTTATTTGTGATTTTTGTGTTTTTTTGTTTTGTTTTGAATATTGGAAAGATAAGGTTGCAGATCATTACAGACTAACTAAAGTTGAAAAAGTGAAAAAGCATAATAGGACCCCTTTAAGCCTTTCAAAACACCTTCACTGAGATATAGAAGTGAAGGAATGTATGAAATATGCATATTATTCTATTTTTTCCCATTATTACTTTAGGAAAATGGACAGTCTGCGCACTCCTAGAGACGAGAGGAGAAGAGCACAACATAATGAAGGTCAATTATCATAATCTAGTCTTTACTCTGTAAATGAAAGCAAAGCAACAGGGTCTGGATAACTCTTACTGTGACCACTCCAAAGATATTGATACTGAAGATGACTCTCAGCAGGCACTGATGGAAATCTGCCTGTAGAGGCCAGTAGAGGGTTGATGGACTGAACATGTAGTGCAATTTTGGACAATATGTCCTAGAATTTGCCTCTGATCGTTCTTGTTGTTGATGTGCAGTTGAAAGGCGACGGCGAGACAAAATCAACAACTGGATTGTGGCGCTCTCGAAAATCATCCCAGACTGCAGCATAGACGGCACCAAGACTGGAGCCGCATGATGCTTTATTCCCCTAAATGAAGATCTGACCTCAGTATTGACCTGTTATTTGCAACAGATGCCTTGAAACTGCATCTCTCTCTCAAATGCATTGCGTTTCTCGTTCCTCCAGAGTAAAGGTGGGATCCTGTCAAAGGCGTGTGATTACATTGGCGAGCTGAAGCAACATAACCAGCGGCTGCAGGAGAGTTTGAGAGGAGTGGAGAGAGTGCAGATGGACAATGAGCTGCTCAGACAGCAGGTATGACGCCTTTAACAGCAGCTTAGTGGTTGTTCATCACTGATCTTGTCATGTAATCCCTATTCTTTGCATTGACATATTCATTATTTTAGGCTGAATCAACATTTTCTTAAAGATATCTTTCCTAGGAACCATATTCCTCTTTTTTAAGCCAATTTAAGTTTTTTTTGCATAAAAAACAGCCACACTTACTTTTTTTCCCCCTTTTGATGATCCTTAGAATTCAACAGGCTATTTTTGTTACTGTGCCTTTAAGACTATATGCAAATAACCTTCTGTGATTGGCTGACCTCTTCACATGTGAAGTTCATATTGCTGTTCATCAAAGTGGGCTGAATAGCTGTTAATATGTAAATGTGGATGGGCATATGTTAATGAGCTCATATTAGACATCATAACTATTGTTGTGAATGTTTGATTATATGTTGTGAATAATTTTTTTAAAACAAGCAGGGAAATCCTGTCTGTCCTCCCTGAAATCTAATAACGAACATTTTACTCTCTAGTTAGAGATTTTTAGATAATATTTCAACATTTTATGAAGGGCCTTCAAAGCTTTTTCAGACCAAGGAACCCATGATAGAGAGACGGCGCAGGAACCCCCGGTTACATACAGTATATGTCTGGCCTACATTAGCATGCATATACATGTTTTGACATCAAAGAGCCATTAAAATAAGCATGATTGATTTGCATTACATTTTATTTAATGCATTTTAATGTAATTGGACAGTAAAATGTTTAGCTGACTTTAGCTTTTTAACTTGATCCTACATGTAGGTTGACGTTTACTTATTATATTTTTATTCAATACACATTTTAGTTTGAGATCATAATGAACATTATCAGACCCCTTTTAAAAAATACCAAAGATAATTTTTCTTCCTTTTTGTATTTTTGTTAACCCACAAAATCTAAATATAAACTCCAAAATACTCCAAATATACACACTTATTCAATAATCACACCCATTCATTCAGTATTATTTCACACACAGTTTAATTCTCCGACTCAATCTCTCCTTTGCTAGAAAGCCACAAACGTCACCTATTAGCCTGATGCACTGCACCAGAAGAGGGTGACAAAGAGTGGTAAAAAAAAGATGTAATTTTCTCTAGTTATGCAACTATTTTATTTTATTTGTTTAAATATTTGTATGATTTTATTTTATACTATTTTATTTTTATTTTATACTATTTATACTATTTTTATTTTATACAATTTTGTTTAATTTGATTTTAATTTGTACTTTTATTTTATACTAATGTTTTATTTTTATATTATTGTTTTATACTATTTGATAATTTTAATATAATATCTCCAGTAGCTCATTTTATTTTATTTGCAATATTTGTATCATTTTATTTTATACTATTTAATTATTTTATTTTATTTTAATTTTTTTTAAATATTTGTAATTTTACTCTCTAGTTAGAGATTTTTAGATAATATTTCAACATTTTATGAAGGGCCTTCAAAGCTTTTTCAGACCAAGGAACCCATGATAGAGAGACGGCGCAGGAACCCCCGGTTACATACAGTATATGTCTGGCCTACATTAGCATGCATATACATGTTTTGACATCAAAGAGCCATTAAAATAAGCATGATTGATTTGCATTACATTTTATTTAATGCATTTTAATGTAATTGGACAGTAAAATGTTTAGCTGACTTTAGCTTTTTAACTTGATCCTACATGTAGGTTGACGTTTACTTATTATATTTTTATTCAATACACATTTTAGTTTGAGATCATAATGAACATTATCAGACCCCTTTTAAAAAATACCAAAGAGAATTTTTCTTCCTTTTTGTATTTTTGTTAACCCACAAAATCTAAATATAAACTCCAAAATACTCCAAATATACACACTTATTCAATAATCACACCCATTCATTCAGTATTATTTCACACACAGTTTAATTCTCCGACTCAATCTCTCCTTTGCTAGAAAGCCACAAACGTCACCTATTAGCCTGATGCACTGCACCAGAAGAGGGTGACAAAGAGTGGTAAAAAAAAGATGTAATTTTCTCTAGTTATGCAACTATTTTATTTTATTTGTTTAAATATTTGTATGATTTTATTTTATACTATTTTATTTTTATTTTATACTATTTATATTTTATACAATTTTGTTTCATTTTAATTTGTACTTTTATTTTATACTCATGTTTTATTTTTATATTATTATTTTATACTATTTGATTACTTTAATGTAATATCTCCAGTAACTCATTTTATTTTATTTGTAATATCTGTATTATTTTATTTTATACTATTTAGTTTAATTAAATTTTTTTTTTATTGTTTTATTTTTATTTCATTTTTATTTGTACTGTTTTATTTTATTTAGGTTATATACATTTTTGTTTTATGTTATTATTTAATAGTGTTTTATTATTTTTATGTGATATCTTTAGTGATTTAACTTTTATTTTTATTTTATTTTATTAATACAGCCTTCCTGTAGCTCAGGCAGTAAAGTATGCACTAGCAATGGCACTATTTTTATTTATATATTTAGTTTTATTTATTTATACTATTTTAATTTAATATATACACTTTTATTATATTATTTATTTTATTGTAAAAATGTATGGCTTGAATGCAATGTTGCTTTGCATAAAAGTGTCTGGCAAATGCATAAATGTACATATCTAAAACATCTTCATATTTAATAATCATTTTCTGTGTTGTTGCTTTCAGCTGGAGGAGCTCAAGAGCGAGAACGGCCTTCTGCGAGCGCAGCTGGAGCATCACGGCAGAGACACGATCGCAGACGCCTCGGCACAATGAGTCTCAGACATTCTGGGAAAGAGATTCTGGCCAATCCAGACCACAAAAGGCCCTCAGAGAATGACACAGGACTGCAGTGGGCCGAATGACAGTCCCAGAGACAGCGCTGATGTCTGATACAGTCCGGCTTGCTACCGATGAGGTCAAAGGTCAAGAAGTTTCCATTAGCACCAACACCAGGAGCCCATGACTAGTTATTCTTCCTAACTAACTCCGAACTAAACGGTGGAATATACTGTAGTTAGACAGCTTTCATTATGTGTTTTTAGTTGTCCCCGCTCTATAATACACCCTAGACATTTTCCTTTTGCTTTTCCTAATTTTCCAGCTTTGTTGCTTTCAATTTTGTCTTCATGCTTTACTTGAAGTATTAGTTGTTTGTGCAATGCCTCATTTAATTTAAAATTCTCCCGGAGAAAATCTGCCGCTTTGTGGTGTTTCGAAAGCTCGTTACGGGACGAATGAAGCCGTGATGAAATGTCATTAGCGGTTCCAGTGAAATTTAGTGTTAAAATCGGAACAAAAGCACCTGCGTACGGCTCCCGCTGAAAGAAAGCTCTGATGCAAGAAAATGAGCTCCGTCTGGGATTATTAGCTTCTTATCTCGGATCGCCTTCGGAAGACAGTTCGGAAAGCATCGCCTAATCTAAGAAGCAAATGAGAAAATCTTCACAAAGCCTTGTAGCTAAATGCTGGACATCTCAGAACTGAAGAAACGTTTGTTATTGTGTGTTAGAGGTTTATTCTGTTACCTTAATCTAATCACCAGGTCTAAAACACCTGAAAATGTAATGGCCTGTCTTGGTTGCTAAGCCTATTTGCAATCCTCAAAAGTTACGGTTTTGTTCTTAGTTTACTTGGTAAGTGCCTGAACATTTTGTGCCATATTTATATAAATAGCATTTTGTTCCAGGCTGTTATTTTTCTCCATAATTCAATCATTATTCACTGATTAACCATTGCTCTCAAAATACAGCGGCAAGAGACACGAAAACCAATGAAATTTTCATTTTCAATTTGATTTACAAAGCGACAGGAAAGATTTAATTTTATTTTAATGTTTTAATTTCTTTATTTTTTTATTTTATTTTACTTATTTTTATTTTTATTTTGCTATTTGTTCTTTTCCTCACACATTTAAGAAAATGTGGTATATAGTGTACAAGTTGTTTGGACTCTTCAATTTAATTTAATTTAATTTAATTTTATTTATTTTATTGTATTGTATTTAATTTCATTTTATTTAAAATTAAATGGAATAAAATTTTATAAAATGTTATAAAATTTTATTTAATGTAATTTAATTTAATTTTATTTCATTTCATTTCATTTTATCAGGTCCAAAAGACCTGGGCCCGTATTCACAAAACCTTTAATCTTGCCACTAAAGGGGGTCGCACACTGGACGAGAAGCGCTTCTCGTGCGACCCCCTTTAGGGGGCGGGGTTGAGCTCGTTGCTATGGATGATGTCAGCATACTTACAAACTGTGCACACAGTGATTGGCTGATAGGGGTCTCTGTCAGAGATGTATTAATAGAAATATTGTAGAGTGCAATATTATATTGCCATATTCAAACAAAGGTTTAAAAATGCAGGCTAAGTGTCACTAATTAAACAAGTATATGTTCAGCTAATTGTCAGCCTCTTACATGTGTGCTTCTCGTAAACAATTAGTGAATATGCATATGAACAGCCTTTTAATTAACAGAGTAGAATAATCGTGGCTGATAGTAAGGCATGCAAATGTAAAAGAAAACCAGACTGGGCGCAAGAACAGCTGTTACTTCTTGCCCAACTTGTTAATGAAACAAGGATATAATCAAAGGAAAATTTGTAGTTGGGATAACCTCCAAAAAAAAAAAAAAATGCTTGGGAAAACATGTGTATGCAAATAAATGCAGTGTGTTTCTAAAACATTTATGTTCCGAGGCAGAACATAGTTGGCTTGTTAAAACCACTAATGGAACATGTCCCAAAACACACTACAGGAAACCATTTTTAATTATTTTAATGGTTAAAAGTTGATGATTTGTAATGTTTGTAATGGTATTTGTAGTGGAAACCATTAGAATTTCTGTGATGGTTCTATTGTTTTTCTTCAGCAGGGAGGATAGGCCACGAAACACAGCGTCACACACGGCGGGCTAGAGTGAGCGGCGGCGGCTTAGAGTGAGGAATGGCCGGAGGGCTAGAGTGAGCAGAGGTGGCGGGCTTGAAAATGGCGCGGCCGGAAACCATTAGAATTTCTGTGATGGTTTCTATTGTTTTCTTCAGCAGGGAGGATAGGCCTAGTTTGTGGTTTGGTCTTAGTGACTTAGGAGTCCTCTTCACTACTCCTAACGTTCCACAGATTTAGGAGCTAGTTTTAGCGCTAAAAGGCTTTGTGAAATACTCTTAGAGCAAAAATGTAAGAGTCCTAAATTTAGGATTGACACACCCATTATTTTTATATCGTCAAGTTATGAGCTACTTTTAGCCTTAAAGGGGTCATATGATGTTGCTAAAAAGAACATAATTTTCTGTATTTGGTGTAATGAAATGTGTTTATGCGGTGTAACACTCCAAAGAGAAAGGAAAAATTGAAATCACATCATATAACCCCTTTAAGATGTTTTGTGAATACAGGTCCTGATAAACATGATGGGCTGTCTTTGTTGGTAAGCAGGCCAATTTGCAATTCACAGATATTACAAATAGCCATTTTATCTCTTGGAGCCTTCAGAACATCACCATTTCAAAGTTTGTATGTTGAGGCAAATGAACCCTCCCTGCCTGGAGAATAGACGTCTTAAATTAGCCCTGCAATATTCAACAAAGTTATCGACCAACAAAAATAATCCAGCATACCAAGCAGTTTTTTCACCTTGGTTCTCTTTGCTGTATGACAAAAAACCAAGGAGTATTCGTCCCTTCGGACTGCAGATTAAACCCTATCTGGAAAATAAAAAAAGTTGATTTAAATGTACAAAGCCAAAGACACTTTTGTTGTATTCCCCCAAAAACCAGTCATAATCATGGATCTAACGAGAAACAAAAAAATCTCAAACTCATCCAAATGATTACCACAAACAACTTTTAAGTATTAGAGAAAGTTTTCCATCATATATCCCAATTTCTACAGATGGGTCAAAGACTGAAGATGGTGTTTCAGCTGGCTTTGTGGTTAACCATCAGTACAGATTCCTCATTGTAGTTCAGTTTTCACTGCAGAAGCCAATGCTAGCATTTTGGCATTGCAGCATATTAAAATTTCTCAGCAGCTAAATTTCCTATTAATGACAGACTCAAAATCTTGTCTTCAGACTCTGGCATCCACCAAATATGAACATCCAGCAATGGTGGAAGTTTCAAATAGTTTGCAGTCCTTGGAGGCACAGAATTTTAAAGTCATTTTTTGTTGGTATTAAAGGGAATGAACAGGCTGACGCGGCGGCTAAGGAAGCTCTATCTTCAGAATCAGGGATCTTATCTATGCACAATCAGCTTGTAACACTCCAAAGAGAAAGGAAAACTTGAAATCGCATCATATGACCCCTTTAAGAAATGCCCAATTCCAACTTCAGACCTCAGACCTGTTATAAACACTTATATGTATAAGAAATGGCAAGCTGAATGGGATAAATGTACAACAAACAAACTATACAAAATCAGTGATGTAGTTGGTGTAAAACGTGCCCACTTTGCAAATCGATGGGATCACATTGTCTACACTCGCTGTCGAATAGGACATTCCAGACTAACCCATAGTTCTCTGTTGGCAGGTGAAGATCCTCCTTTATGTTCTTTATGTGCCAGAATCCATTTTATTTGAAGCATATTTTGATGGATTGTAATAGTTTAAAGTCTGTCAAAACTCTTTATTTTTCTGTTGACTTTTATGGAAAGATTTTTAATGAAGTAAGGCCAGATTTAGTTTTAGAATTTTTATCTTAGATCAAATTAAAAAACTTAATTTAACAACTAACCTCGTTCTCACCATGAATATAGCCCAGGTAGCTCATAAACAACAACAAAAAAAACAGCCATTTAGTTCATAGTTTACTTGGCTGAACATCTTTTTTATTTCTTTACAGTCTAAGTCATTATTCACTGATTAATCATTGCTTTCAAATCAAATATGGCGCAAAGAGATGTAAAAACGTGAATGCATTTAAACGTTCCATATTTGAATTAAAAAGTGATCGCAATCTTCAGTGAATAAAGACTTTGTTCTATTCCTCGTACAAATCTGTTAAATGATTTCAGAAGCTGTTGTTTGGACTATTTAATGGTGTTTATGGTGCTTGACAGATTATGGTTGAATGGAAAAGAGCTGCATGAAGATTCTTCAATTCTCCTTTTGTGATCCATTGAAGAAATAACGACATGGGGGTGAGTAAATTGCCAAAGCTTTTGTTTTGGGGTGAACTGTTCCTTTAAGACATTACAGCCAAGAAAAACAATATACGTAACTAAAACTGTACTGATGACAATGCAGTTAATAATAGACGACAGCGTCAGGTCAGTTGTTTTATGAAAACCACTTTATTTCTGCAAGATGAATATCACACCTTCTCTACAGGACTGTTAGCAGATCGCTGCTTTATGATAATTATTTTGTAATACATGCTGCCCTTAACGGCAGTGATTACCCTAGTGGCCTTACAGTTGACCGAAAAATAAACAGTGAGAATGCAATATATAATATTATTTTAATATAGCTTTAATATTACTGTAAACTCTCCTCAGAGAGGCAGAGAAACTTCACTCTGCATCGCTTTCACAGCCTCTTCACAAACTTTTGTTTCAGAGTAATGGTCTGTGAAGGTCTGTGAAGCTGAGGTTATTTAAACTTCCTTGGCTTTTTATATGGATTTTAATATGAAGTTTCAGCATCATAACAGTTTGCATTAGGAGCATGATAAGATTGTCTCCAGAGCTTAAACTAGTGTCTCTATAAGTGCCCAAGCTTTGAGGAAATTGTTGAATGATTTTAGACTTGACTACCGAATTTACTTGTTAAAAAAAGAGAAAAATAAAAGTAACTTTACTTGTGTATCGATTAACAAACATTATTACACAAAGGCTTGAAGAGTCGCCATTGTGGGCTATTAAAATGAACATTAAAATCATAATTTCTGTTAGTCATAATAAATTATTAAAATCATAATTTCTGTTAGTCGTAATACTTTTTGGGCTGGACTAACTAAGTAAATAAATACATATTTTAAGACTTGAATATATTTAGTATGTGTCTTGGTATTTATGTGATTTGTCTGATATAGCTTAAAAAGTATTCATTCACTCATTCAAACATTGTAAATTATTGATCTCATTTATTTTAAATAGCCATGCCATTTTAAGTGTTATTTTATTTTATTTTTCATAAGAAGAATAGCCATAATAATATATATATATATATATATATATATAGAGATATAGATATGCTGTATATATCGTGATATTTATTTATGCTAAACAAACCGTGTAAATTGTTTATCTAATTTATTTTAACTAATCATTCCACTTTTAAGTGATATTTTATGTTAATGTATTTTTATTTAATTTTTATTTAATTTTATAATAAAAAAAAAGATATTTCATTATTCACACATAGGCGTGAAGAATAGCCATTGTGAGCTGTTCAAATTTACAATAAAATCATAATTTAATTTCTATAATACGTTTCTATGGCTGGGCTATACAAAAATAAATAAATAAAATAAAATATGAAAAATATTATATATCCATACATATGTTGACATTTATTTATTTGCTTATTTATTTGTTTGTTTAAAGCAAACAAACATTGTAAATTATTTCTTTCTATACTTTGAATTTGAATGAATCAGTTCAATTAATCGATTGAATTGATTTGTTTGCAACAAAAGCAAATCAGTGAATCTGAGTTTTGAACTGATTTATTAAATGCTTAGAAATTAAATTAGCTTAAAACATCTGATGTTGTTTTCATCTGTGTAATGACAGAGAAACTGGAAAACTAAAAATACAATTATTCACAATGTTGCTTAATTTTATATAACCAGCAA